GTGTGCATCAGAGAGCTACAGGAGTCAAACGTTCCCAAGTCTGTAAACTTAATAACCTGGGACTCCAGGTATTAGGAGTAGTAGGATTATTAGATACGGATCAGTGTGTCCACCTTCGGAGGTGTTTCTTATGCCTGTTAAAACCCCACTTTTCTAAAACGTGCCTGCCTCCGATTGGCTGTCTACATGTTGCAGCCCTCAGATGATAGGGGTGGCTCCTTGATCTTTAATACTATTATACACAAGTCCATGGATACGTCTTCAGAGGCGTTTCTTTAAATTATCCCGCGGAGGAACCGCCTCTCCGAAACACCTCTGCCTCCGATTGGCTGATTACATGCTGTACAGTCCTCGGATGGCTACAGGGACATTATTGGCCAGTACACCCACAGCTAATTATCATACCAGGTATATATATGGTAAACAGGAGACCTAGCCTTTGATTCCCCTGACGAAAGTGTGATTATACACAGGGCCGGCCTTAGGGGCGTGCGAGCTGTGCTGCCGCACAGGGCGGCATGGGAGCAGGGGGCACCCTGCGGCCAACACAACTCACACATGACTGTCTGCATGTAAGAATGTGTGTGTAAGACTGTGTGTGTGTGTGTGTGTGTGTGTAAAACTGTATGTGTGGCTGTGTGTGTGTGGCTGTCTGCCTGTGTGTGTGTGTGGCTGTCTGTAATTGTGTGTGAGTGTGTTTATCTACCTGTAACTGTGTATGTGTGTTACTGCCTGTAACTGTGTGTTTCTGCCTGATCCTGTGTATGTGACTATCTGCCTGCGACTATGTGCATGTGGTGGACTTGACAGTGTATATGTATAACTGTGTGCATCTGACTGTGGGACTGTGTGCACATAAGCCTGCAAAAATATACACCTGCAGGCCTAAATGCATGTTTTTATCTGAATTAGATAACCATCACACACACCCAGTAAACCCAGCACAAATATCACATACAACCAATACACGCATATCACACACTGTTAATACACCCATTACAAATATCACACACCGACAACACGTAGCATACATATCACACCTATCACAACACAAACATTACATCATACATTGATGACGGGGGGGGGGGGCGCTGTGAAGAATTTTCGCACAAGGCGCCTAAAGGCCTAAGGCCAGCCCTGGTTATACACTGAAACAAGAATTGGGCTCTGTTTTTTAAAATTATTTTTCATCATGCACTATGGTGTTTAGCTTTAGGGGTATACGTAGGTGCACTATCTTATAGTGTGTGCCGAGGTGGCCTCAGGGTTTCCAGGAGTCTGGATGTGATTAAAGTAAGCTTGTATCTCCCTTTATACGCCTTTGTGGGAGCCTGTCTAGATAGATACACCTTTATTTAGACTGAAGGGTATACATTGATTTAATAGCTGTGCTGGTATTTGTAGTTTAGTGTATTTTAGTGTGCGCTGAGCTTAGAATGTAACTTAGTTGAATTAGATTTACAGAATTATGGACTTTTGACTCCTGTTGCTCTCTCTGTTTTGTTTAAATGAACCATGCATAGTATGTCTTTGAGAAGCTAGTCTATGTCTGCTTTGCTCCCTTTCTTACATATTCTTTTAATCCCTTTATGGACAGTGGTTTACTTTTGATATTTATTTTAGCACAGTGACCTTTACGTCTGTCAGTGTATAGGTTTTTATGAATATATGGCGTTGATTGAATAAAGATTACAGTATTTTTTAACCTCTCCTATCCAGCTCTTGTTCTGGAATAGGATACGTTTGCTGTATTTTTTTTTTTTGCCTTTGTCTCTAGATTCATGTGGGTTACCTCCTTACAAAAGGATTGAGGTTTTGATTACCTTTCTCCTGCATCTTGTTGTTCCTTCCTCTTCCTAATTTACTGTGGAATAGTAATTATACTGTTATGATAATTGTAGAGGAACTCCAATTTCCCGACTGGGTATCCTCGCTGGATGCTCCTCGTAGCTGGAAGAAGCGCTGGTTAGTGAATAGAACTCTTTCCCCCAGTAACTAGATGACACATAGTTCTGGGAATACAACTGATTTAACTGAGCTGAATGTAGTGTTTTATGCACAGACTTCCAGCATGGAGTCTCCCTTCGACACAAACAGTGCCTTCCCAGACCTCGCTTAAGCTGATTATCTCCCGGATACAGAGGACCTAACATAAAATACGCCAAAAACAACGTGAAAACAAGCAGGAACCCCACCACATCACATATCCCCAGATAGCTCTAATCTGAGCACCCAAGTTGGCAAAATGGCAAAATAGAGCTCGGATCCATAGAGAACAGACAAATCGCCACCGGGGTAAAGAGTGCACCGGCCTCTAGCAAAGTTCATGCTGAAATCTGTTCCAGAGCTAATCTCTGCTTGTCTTGTCAATTATCAGCATGGCAGCTCAGCTCCTACAAATTACTAACTAAATAGCCCCAAAACTACGATTTTTAACCATGCCAAGGACCGCCAGCGCCTGTCCTCAGTGTACAGGGGACACTGGATCCAGGGTGAGGCTGGCTCCCCGAGCTACAGTCCCCAGGAAGAGAGACCCTTGATGCCCTAATTGGGGCCTACTCCGGCTGTGAGTGGGGCGGACAGCCGCTGCTCCACTATCCTGCCTAACAGACCCAACCAGAGGACGGCAACCTCTGGATCTGGCCCTGTTCCCCCCCCCGGACCGGTGGGGGTGATCCCCAGACCCAGACAGCGCAACCCGGGGCCAGCAAGGCAACATTACCATCCAGCCTCGTGGCTCAAACGCCTCAACTAAAATGGCGGCTGACAGAAGCGCCGAGGCCAGAGGGAGGGCATGCCTTCTCCCCGAGCCCAAAGGGAGCAAAGAGACCTCCGGGAACAAGCTGGTCCGACGTCTATTATGGCAAGCAACAAGCCACTACTATAGCAACCAAGAAAAGCACCCAAGCAAAGAAAGGCTAACCACTCACAGCCACCCCTGGTGAGACCGCGCCACCAACTAATGACCAACCTACATCTGGACTGCAATAAACTCATAGGGGGCACCGATAATGCAGAGACTCAAATGACCTACATGCAACAACGCTACTTTACCCTCTTACCGGCATTGAGTCCCAAAGCAACAGTCTCTCCACCAAGCCCCAAAGCGGAACGGGCGGACAACATCCACCAGACTACAAGCGAATGGGCACAACAATGCTCCACAACCCAACGGATAATCTGGCGCCCCCACTACTACTCCTACCGGAGCAACCGGCGGAACATGAACATGACTGCAACCTTGAATACCAGCGGCAAGCAGAAAACACTGTCTAAATATAAGAGACTGCCAACATAAAGGGGGTGCTTAGTAACGCAGTCATTTTTACCAGCTACCAGTCAGGAATATGGGGATCTGCACTTAACAAGCTAATACTGTTGTGTCTTTATCTCGGGAGGTAGGAGGCATAGCTAGTTAATCTGGGTCCAGGGAAGCGCTTGTAACTAACTGCTTAACTACTGAAGCACCACATAGGGCAAGGCGCAATGTTGATGTATAGGCTCCATCTCATATTGTGACGGACCGCTGGCACTCCGACTGAGTACCTCCGCCAATCGATGCTCCTAGCGCTTGCCGAGGACTCCGAGCACTCCAACCGACACCATCAGCACTGCGGACCCCACTTCCAGTGATGCAGCTGCGCCAGGGTCTCGCCGTCTCTCACCCACCCTGGATCCACGACCAGGATCCAGCTCCCAATGGGTGAACCTCTCCTAAATCCAGAGAGTGTAGCAGGAACAAATCAAGCTCTTACAAGAGCCTTGGCATGAGCCAAGGCTTCAAGAAAGGTGCAAGTAGGTCTGGTTTATTAAGGACTACCTGCCTGGAATTTATGCAAGTGTCTACCAGGTAAACACTCCCCTAGGGGACCTGATGGAACAATGGGACACATATTGGATATTAGCCAATCACAGACAATACAAACAAAACACTCCCACAGTGACATCACAATCCCTCCTCTCTATCCTGGAGATAATTGGGAAGTAATCAAATTATCTCCCAGGACAGAGGCAAGACTCCATTAACCACATGGTTACAAAAAGACATAACATTGTGTAATTTTACAATTACTACATAAAACATATACATGCAACATATCCCCAGATAGTTTAGATCTGAGCGCACATTATTACCGAATGGAGCTCAGATCACATACATACAGTTCAATCGCCATGGAGCCAAAGTATTTTCCATAGTCTTTCGTTACACAAATAGGCTCCATGGCATAGCTATCTGGGGTAGCACTACTCACATACTGAAAGTCCCGAACTCCCCGGCAGGAATACACAAATAAACCTTTCTGCAGGGTGAAATACAGCTATCAGGCAGGAGGCTAGCCAGTAGTCCCCTCCAGGCACAAGTGGCGAAGGGCACTTCGTCACACATATTAATCGAGTTACTTGCTAAACCTAGCCTGATGCAATTAACATTGACAGAACCCTATTACTTCGCCTCTGTTCAGTTTTTATATGCCATAGCCTAGTCCTAGCCTGTATTTAAATAATAAGCAACTGAGTAATCGTTTTATCCTAGCCTGCAATAACAACCAGTACAGGGTATCTAGGCCAATCACCCTGTCATTGACACTGCCTCACAACTGCCCTGCTAATCCTGTTGTATCGCTTTAGGCAATCCTCTACCCTATTTCACTCTATTCTACTGTACTCCACGTTACTTTACTTGACGTTTAAAAACAAAAATATGGCAGTCTTTCTTAGGAGTGTATTACATACCATCTTGTAATCATTAACTTGTGTTACCCCAAAATACCTCCTCTTTCTATTCTGTACCCCATAACGCATATGCCATAATAAAAGGAAAAAAAAACATAGGGATAAGTTGACCGGGCCTTAAGCAGGAAAGAGGCCGAGCTGGGGTTCCACGTACTTTTGGGGCTAGGTCCCGCTGGATATCTTTCAGTGTTTTGCAACCCAAACTCTGCCAGGGTAGAGGTGCTTTCAGGTATTTACAATGCAAGGGATACAACACTGAGCCAGTGGTAGTGGAATAGCTCTTTCGGGGTAATATATGGGTAAAATGGTCTATGTTTCGCCATAATGATATTAAATAATTGTTAACAGGGTTATTCACTAAAGTGAGAATTGTTCGGAATTCAATAGAAGTGGAAAGTAAATTTCAAATTTACAGCCAAAATAGCTACACTGTAAAAACTCTCAAAGTTGACTATGCATTTAATTTGGCTACTTTGCCTAAATGCAAACGGTAAGTCCTACTTACCTGAACCTGTCCCTCACAGATACTGCCATCCTCTTCTGGTAGGTCATCTTCTACTCCTGTCACTGAAGTATGAGGGAGAGTACAGCGTTGAGGTCTATAGAGGATCCCCTGAGTGCGCGGAATCATCCATAGATAGAGCCAATTCCATGCAGCCGTCACTGGTTGCTCCGCCCAGTGTCTAGAAGTGTCAGGAAAAATACTGAGACAGAAAATACTGAGACAAAGAGGAAGAGATTTGAAAAAGGTAGGTACAGTGTGACCATGCCGCTTTAAGGAAATGGGAAAAAAAAAATGTTATTTCAACAAAATAATTGACTTTGTGAGTTAACAAACTCAACAGAAAGCGGGGAAAAGTTCCCTTAAGAGGGAAATCAGCTTGTTTGCTGATCGTTAATAATGATTCAGCAAGAAGTAAAACAAATTTTATACAAGCATATTAATAATCTACATTCTGCTTAGCAATTGTTAGTAAACGCCGGTTTAAAGTTTTCTGCAGTTAATAATCTTTGCTCACTCTTTCCAGGTATATCTTGCTCCCTGATTTATCATTTTTTGCTAAATTACATTTCAAAGAAAGCAATTACCCAACAAGACCGGCATGACAGCTGGGCACAGCGTAAATTCTGTCTGAAACATATATCAGTGTCTGCGGCAGTAACGGCGTTGGCGAACAAGGCAAGTGCCTGTGAGGGTTCTGTCTACAAACATAATCAATAGTCCACAGGCATTTTACAAAAACGTACATTTTGGATCTACAAAAGGTAAATTTAAAAACGGCGTGTAGCCAAACACAAATCTGGTCCTGGTTCTAGGCAAAGGCACTTTAATTCACAGTGTGTCAGGCAGATCAATTGTCATAAAAGGTTTATAAAGCATGGAAACAAAAAAAATGACACATGTACATATTTAAATACACACACATCTGCTGACATTTTGTATTCTGTAATTCAGGGAAACAGTAGCCACAAATACGCCTTTTTTATGGTTACGTCTTGTCTTTGCCCTTGGTGGTATAAATTCTTTGTACAGTGGATTTTTCAAGGTGCTAGACCAGGGATGGGCAACCTTCGTCACTCCAGATGTTGTGGACTACATCCCCCATAATGCTCTTACACTCATAGTGCTGGCAAAGCATCATGGGAGGTGTAGTCCAAAACATCTGGAGTGCCAAAAGTTGCTTATGCCTGTGCTAGACTATTCATCGAAGATTCTGACCACGCTGACATCACACTACTTCTGCAGGTTTCTCTCCCCTGACCTCACTCATTAAAAAAAAAAAAATTTTTTTTTAACAGTTTTGTTTACAGAATTGTCTCTTACTGGATGTTTGTGTCAGTGCCAATCTCTGTAAACTCGTTCAGCCCATGTATGCGCACGTTCTTTGGTGGCCGGCCCTTTTAGGGTAGCCCATCCATTCTTTCAAGCCTGATTTAATTTGACTGCACATAAAATGGTTTACTGTCGGGAAATTTAAGAGCATGTCAGTAAAAATGTATTCTCTGAAATCCAAAGCTACTTTACTTTAAAGTATAAGAAACTCTTCATGACTGTTAACAGTCAACGCCAGTGGTCCTAAACGGCATTTCTCTAAAGGATGGCTGAGTGTCTTGGGAAGTGTAGTCCGCAATCATCTGGAATGCCACCCTTAGTCATCAATGGTCTAGACCTCACTGCCAGGAGTATGCAAGGGTCGTGCTGCCATTATAATAACAAGACCCCCAGCATTTCACAATATAACATTTTGGTGCTAAGGGTACAAAGACCTGAGAGTGGAAAACGATTGGAGTGCATTGCAAGTGGTTTGCAATTTCTCAAATCCAGCTGTTTGTGCGGATTGGTCACTTAGGCCTAGATTTTGCAATTCAGTGCTCAGTTCACCGCTGTTTACGAGTATTTGGTAATTAACCCATTTGTGCAGATGACACATAATGTCATGGGTCTTTCACGAGTTACAGACAAGTGTAGACACACATTTTTATTTTTTTGGGCAAATTTTGCTGCTGTCAGGTGTTTTGCAAAGACCCCATCTTGGCTGCATTAAAATCTTGCTGAGGTTTGTACCTTCTTCTATAATTTGGATTTCATCTCTTTGGGATATTTACAATCCGAACCTTTATTAACGTTGACAGATTCACTGCTCATCTTAATGAGATGACACATTGTAAATCTCTGAAACTTCTCCTGCGACCAAAGATCCCAGGCTTCTCATTGTACGAGCGTGTTAAATCATGCAACAACTCTTAACACAGGCTCCTGAATCATCGCTATGATCAGAAATAACAGCCTGGCTCAGATTCTTGGACACACCGACTTTAATAGCCATTTGTACAAAGCCTTGGAATATGTTGGTGCCCAAGACATCTGATGGGAAAACATACAAAGTTATCTAATTAAATGAGAATTCACAGTCAATATCAGATTCAAGGTAAAAATAATCAAGCTGGAAAAATTCTCCCAGTCAGCTACAGCTATGCTTCCAGTTCAGTTACTTTGTCCTTAAATTTGAAATCCACTTTTATTTCTCATGTTAGTAAATAACCGCTTGTAGTTGTAGCCCCATTTTATGGTGCCCATGCACCAATGTCTTTGAAGGGATTCTATAGTGCCAGGAAAACAAACATTTTTACAGTGCCCCCTCCTGCACAACTGAAGGGGTTAAAACACCTTCAGTCACTCACCTGAATCCAGCGCCAATGTCCCTCGGCGCTCCACCCACGCTCCTCCTCATTAGCCGGCGGGAGAGACCTAATGTGCATGTGCGGCAATGGCCACGCTCGCACTAGGATTTCCCTATAGGAGGTCCACATACAGAGCGTGAGGACATCCAGCTTCAGATAACGGACCAAAGGTCTGTTTCAGTTCCGGAAGTCCCTCTAGTGGCTGTCAGAAACTGCATTAATTACTATTGCAGGGTTAAGGGACCTGGGACATTGCACCCAGACCACTTCAATGAACTGAAGTGATCTGGTTGCCTACAGTGTCCCTTTAACTTGAGGTTCCCATTCAGATTAATTTAATTCCAGCGTTCTACTGTAAATTGTCACTTTGTGTGCTAAACT